TTTTGCTTCCTGTTTGGGTGCTTCCTGAACGCCGCCTTCTCACGGTGATTGGCCCGTCGTCGGTTCCCATGGTAACCGACGACAACGCTCGCCCTTGCTCTCCGGGGCTCACTCCGGCAACGTTGGGACTTACGACGCCTGCGCACCGTCTTCCCAGGGATTGGTCCGTGCCCTCCACCGTCTCCTTAGCAACAGTCACTGTTGAGGCGGAGCAGGACGCCTCCCGCGGATTGGCTGCCCGGAGTCTCTCTGCGACTCGGATTGGCTGACGCGTGGCTTGAGGGCCAGCCCTGGGCGGTCCCTGCCCCCGAACCGGCTGTGCGGAGGCGGAAGCGAGGCAGGGACCGCGGGGACCCCCAGCACCCGAGAGCGACGAGAATGATCCGCCAGAAGTCGGAGCGTGACTCGTCCTCGGAACTGCGGGGGGAACTGGAGAAGGATTTCGGCTCAGGGTGTGAATCGGGCACGAAGATGGGAGCGGGTGTGCGGACCGATTCGGGGACTGCTGCCTCAGTGGCCATCAATGACGATCCGGGAGCCAACTTGTTCCCAGTGAGTGAGGAGAGCGGTCTGCTCAGCAAAGTGTGTAAGCGCGGGTCCCGGGCAGGGTGTCTGCTCAGCAAAGTGTGTAAGCGGGGGTCCCGGGCAGGGTGTCTGCTCAGCAAAGTGTGTAAGCGGGGGTCCCGGGCAGGGTGTCACCGGACCCCGATGACGAGCTGTGCTTTGGGGTAGCCCTGAGGACCCGCACTGTTTGTACGTGGTCCTGGAGATCCAGTCGCGAACGGGGAGCACTGCCTTCTCCAGCCCGCTTTCTCTCTGCAGCCGCCGTTGCCCCAGCCTGGGATCTGCATGTGGTGAGTGAGGAGCCACGGGAAAAGGTTACACGTCACCCACTTGCTTTTCTTTCAGTGCACCCCACCTCCCCACAGGCCTGTCCAGTAGCCAGGGCACCCCCATTTTACAGAAGAGGAGGGAGAGGTGCAGTCACCCCGCTTCTGCCTCCCCAGCCCACCGAGGGAGTGTGGGTAGGAAGAAGCCAAGGGTGGAGAATGGAGTGGACTGTCCGCGGCCGCTTTGCTGTACAGAGGAGGCCGGGAGACTTACAGGAGGGATTGCCAAGGCCTACAGCACAGCAGTGGCCGAGGAGAGAGGGAAACTCACGGGTGCTAACCCAGGGCTTTGCAAATGAAGAGGGACCCAAGAGGTCATCTAGGGCATCCCCTTTACTGACAGGGAGACCGAGGTCCAGTGAGAGGGAGCCACTTGCCCGATGCGACAGAATAAGTTCGGGGGGTGGGGGGGAGGGGGAGCCAGGCCTCAAACTCAGGTCTCCGGATCCTCAGTCAGAACCTGCATCCCTCATACAGCTTCCAACACTTCCTTCTTCTCCCGTGACAGGAAGTACCTGGACGTCCATGCAATGCACCAACTCGAAAAGACCACCAATACCGAGGAGATGAGGGAGTATGGGGCTGAGCAGGGTGGGCGGAGGGTAAGGGTGGGAGCGTAGGGTGGTGAAGGGAGACTAGGCATCGGCCCACACTCCCTCTCTCGCCCTCCCAAGAGTGCTGGCCGAGCTGATGGGGCTGAGCTGTCCTGAGCAGAATCTCCGTGAGGCCATCACCCTGGACCTCTTCTCCCATGCCCTCATCTTCTGCCGCCAGCAAGGCTTCTCCATGGAGCAGACGTCCACGGCTTGTGCCCTGCTCCAAGATCTCCACAAGGCCTGTGTTGGTGAGAGGGAGGCGGGTGGAGGCTAAGGGGCGCAAGAGGCGGTAGGAAGTGGGTGAGGATTAGCAGGGGGAATTTCCGTCTCTAGCTAAGAGTATAGGACAAAGGCAGACCTTTTTACACCCATTGTCAGGAACTACGGAAGGAACCCTGGTGGCGTAGTGTTGATGCATTGGGTTGCAAACCTCAAGGCCAGTAGTTCGAAACCACCAGACGGTTCCTTGGGAGAGAAGATGAAGTTCTCTAGTCCCAGAACAAGTTACAGTCTTGGAAACCCTCAGGGCTAGACTTACCCCGACCTTTGGGGTTGCCCAGGGTCAGGATTGACTCAACGGCAGTGCTCAGCTGAGTGAAGAGTTCCCCGGTGAGCCCGCATGGACTCCATGTGAATGAGTATGTGTGTAAGTGAGATAGCTAGCGGGAGTATCACGCAGCCTATTTCCACTTTTCCGTCATGCGGAGATAACGCTACCTTAATGGGCTTGTTCTGAGAATCTACCAGGGGGCTTCAAAAAGTTCAGGGCAAAATGGAAGGAGAAGTTCCTCCAACGTTTCTCAAGCCCTTGGACATAACCAGATGCACGGTGCTCCCTAAAATCGCCGGGGTCTGCCGACACCCTCTATTCTGATTCTGTTTCCCGCGAAGCTACATTATGCTCTGGCTTATCCTCACCTCCCCTAGAACATAAGCATCACAGGAGCAGGACCTGACCCGCTTGGCTCAGTGCCTGCAACAGTCCATGGTGGCTGCTCAGTACTTGGTGAGTGGGTTCACCAAACCAGCCAGGACCTGAGCTGTGGGTACTCCTGAGCAGCTGCTGACTCGCCGTTTGGTGATGTGAATGACTGGGTATTGGAGGGGGGCACTCACCCTCACCCCTTGCTTCCCTTCCCAGCAACCCCCTTGGGCAACGTGGAGGAGTGCTACCGCTACTTCACCAGTGTGCTCTTTTGCCACGGAGTCAGGGTTAGTGGCTGGGATGGGAGCTCACCCTTCCCCAGACCCGGTGCGGCCTGGGCTCTCTGGCTCGGACACCTGTGGTCTCCCTGCGCCTAGACTCAACTCTTAGGGAGGCCAGGGCTCGGGCAGGTGTTGAAGGGGCCTGTGGAGGCCGGAGGTGGCCCTGTCCCCCAAGTCCAGTCATCTCCACAGCGGCCTCCCTTCAGCGTCAACATTTTTAATGAGGAGCAGCTGCTGGCCCTGTTGGACTACGTGGTCAACACCTACTTCCGCCACTTCAAGCTCTACAAATATGTTTTCACGCCCCAGGTACCGGGCCAGGGGCGCTGAAAGAGGTCATCCTCACCGTCTTCCCCTCGGGTTAGACAAGCCTCCACCCAGATGCCTTAACCCCCTCTTTTCCCAGGTGCGGCTGGACCTATCCTTGGCTTATGTGGGGCTCCAGCTGCCCATGCCCTCGCCAGCAGGTAGGAGGCTGGGAGGCGGGCGGGGCTAGGGTTGGGGGCGAGGCTGAGGCCGCGTCCTGCTCCCGGCCCACAGAGACCGGAAGTGAAGAGGAAAAGGCCGAGGAGCTGGAGCCGGCCCCTCAGGAGCAGGAGCCAGGGCCGCTGGCCCAGCCGGAGGAGGAGCCGAGTGAGCACGGGGCAGGGCTGGGGCTTTAACCAGGCTCCCCTCCCCGCTCCGTCATGGTGCCTTTTCTCCCAAAGGATCCCTTACGCAGAAGTCCAGTATACCAGAGAGATACACTGTGTGTGCTGGGGGTGGGGGGGAGTGCCAGAGAGGGCAACACGCTTTTAATCAATAACGAGCTGCCACTGCAGGCCGTCCCAGCTTCCAGATGAGACCGGTGCCCGTGTCTTTCAGCAGGCTTCACTGCAGTGCCAGGGGAGGCCTGCTCCTGTGGCAGGTGACGGTGTCAAATGTGTGACACGCAGGGGTTGGCTCTGGCGACCAGCTGTTTGCTGCGGTGAAAGCCAGCTCACTGCCCTCGAGGCGCCTCTGGCTCAAGTGAGCCTGCGTTAGGACTTCGGAGACTTGGCTCATCTTTATGGGCCCAGACAGCCTCACCTTTCTCCCAGTGAGCGGCTGGTGGGTTTGAGCCTCCGAACTTGCGGTGAGCAGCCCAACGCTTACCCACGAACACCTTCCGTCTTATTGTACTCTGTCTACCCAGAGGAGTCCTGGTGCCATTGTGGGTTAAGGTTGGGCAGCTCGCCGCCAGCCAGGTCAGCAGTTCAAAACCAGTAGCCACTCCACTGGGGCAGCTCTACCCTGTCCATTAGGGTTGCCGTGAGTCGGCATGGACTTGGTGACCGTGCATTTGAAGTACGTGTTAGAGATGAGGACACTGAGGCAGGCGTGGGGTAGCTAAGCAGCCTAAGGTCACACAACTCAACAGGACAGCAGGCCCACTCTGCCCTCTCATTGACGGGCTGGTTGACGGTTCTGGAAGTCGAGCCCTGTGGCCCCGTTGGGAGCTGTCTGGCCCAGCTCCAGGTAGTTCCCCCAGCCCGGACAACCTTTCTCCTGACCTGGCCCTCCTCGCCTGCCTCTGCAGGCCAGGTCTCCCTCCTTCGAGCCTTCATCAACACCCAGCTGAGCAAGGAGCTAGGGCAGCTGCGGCAGATGGTGGAGCAGCGGCTCCTGGCCAGCGAGGAGCGACTCCGCGGCAAGCTGGCCACGCTGGAGCGGCCTTCCCAACTGCCCCTGGGCAGAGGCAAGCCCAAGGCCAAGTGACCTCCAGTTCCCCCCCCTCCCACCCAATAAAGGCCTGGGCCTTGCCCACCCTGCCCCTCCTGAGCTTCTCTGCCCAAGGCAGACACCAAACACATGGCACTCACTCTCCCTGGCACGGAGCAGACTTTATTTCCTGTGGAGGATGGGCAGCACTGGCAAGGTCAGGCGTGACAGCCCGGTGCTCCCTGCCCCTCTTCCAGCTGTCTCAGTCCTGGTGAGCGCCGTAGGTATACAGTAGGTCTTTATGATAACGGCATGGTCAGTGGTAGGCCTAGCCAGGCATGAGGGCTGGAGCCCAGGGCCCACAGGGGCTGGACTGCGGCAAGTCCTCGTGGGGAGTTCGGCACCCCGAGGTCCTAGCCCAATGCCAGCAGCCCCTCATCCTCCAGGACAGCCGCCGAGACCCCTTCCTCTTCCGGCCCCGAGAGGTGGGACGGCCCAGGGGGGCGGTGCTGGAAGAGGGCTGCCCGGTTCTGCTGCTCCCCCTTCTTCACCCAGTGCCCATAGAGCCGGAAGGCGCAGCTGTCGATGAGGCGCCGGACTGGGCGCAGGGCATACGGATCCCTCAACAGGGCACTCTTGGTCAGGGGCCGGATGCGGTGGGCACTTAAGGCCACTCGCCCAGCAGCCAGCACTGTCCACACTGCCACCTGAGAAGGGGGCGTGCATGTGAGGTGTGAGCGTTGGTGTAGACGCCAACTCCAGGAGGCTCAGGGCAGTGAGACCAGCCCTGCCGGGGGCTGGAAGAAGCTCGCAGGCTTACCCGGAAGCGCTGGCGGGGGCTGAGGGTCCAGGGCTGGCTGCCTTCACAGCGCTCAAAGAAGGGGTGGCGCAGAGCCTGCTCGGCCGTCAGCCGGACCTCCGGATCCACCTGCAGCAGCCTTGCGATCTAGGGGCAGGGCCAGCACTCAGTGGGCGGCTCCTGGCCCTCCCCTCTCGCCCTCTCCTGGCCCCAGCTCACCAGGTCTTTGACCGTGCGGGAACGGTCGTCCCACTCGGGCGAAGTGAACTGGTAGCGGCCCTCCATGATCATCCGCAGCATCAGGATCTGGCGCCGGTGCCAGAACGGTGGTGAGCCGGCCAGGAGTGTGAACAAGATGACCCCACAGGCCCAGCTGGGGACAAAACCAGCGTCAGGCAGGGCAGAGGGGGAAGTGGAGACCCAATATGTTGAAAGGCTGCACACGGGGAAGGGCGACAGGGACCAGACTCACAGGTCGACTTCCCTGCCATAGCCTGGGTGGGTTTCATCCATCGAGCATTTGAGGATCTCTGGAGCTAGATACCCTGGGGTCCCACACAACTCTGGAGAGAGAGAAGATTGAGCTGAAATTACTAAACCCATCAACCCATGAAACAATAAATGAACGAAAATCTATTTGCCTCATTCTCTACACCTACATTAATAGGACTACCTATTATTATAATTGTTGCATTCCCTGCCTTATTATACCCTACATCTAATCGTTTAATTAACAACCGCATTCGCACTCTCCAACAGTACCTAATTAATACAATTCTGAAACAAATGATAGCTATTCATAGCCCTAAAGGTCGGACCTGATCACTCATACTAGTCTCACTTATTTTTATTGCATCGACAAATCTTTTAGGCCTTCTACCCCATACATTCACACCTACTACCCAACTATCAACCTGGCCTTAGCTATTCCACTGTGAGCAGGAGCAGTAATTTTAGGTTTTCTCTATAAATTTAAAGCATCCGTATCCCATTTTTTACCTCAAGGTACCCTCATCCTCTTAATCCCCATACTTATTATCATTGAAACTATCAGCCTATTTATTCAACCTATAGCACTAGCTGTTCGATTAACCGCTAACACCACAGCTGGGCACCTTCTAATACACCTAATTGGGGCTGCTCCCCTAGCATTATTTTCAATCAGTACTTCAACAGCCCTAATTACTTTTATTATCCTTCTACTTCTTACAGTACTAGAATTTGCTGTAGCACTCATTCAAGCTTACGTCTTTACTCTTCTAGTTAGCCTCTATTTACATGATAACACTTAATGACCCACCAAACCCATGCCTACCATATAGTTAATCCTAGTCCTTGACCACTTACAGGAGCTCTTTCAGCACTTTCACTCACTTCGGGCCTCGCAATTTGGTTCCATTATAACTCCCCGCTATTACTCCTTATTGGCTTAACAACTAACCTCCTCACTGTGTATCCATGGTGACGAGACGTAATCCGAGAAAGTACATTTCAAGGCCACCACACACCCATCGTACAAAAAGGTTTGCGCTATGGAATGATCCTATTTATCATTTCTGAAGTATTCTTTTTCGCTGGCTTCTTCTGAGCTTTTTATCATTCAAGTTTAGCACCAACACCAGAGTTAGGTGGTTGCTGGCCCCCTACAGGAATTACTCC